AAGAAGAAAAAAGAACCAAAATGAAAAAAATAGGGTGGGGGGAAAAGAACAATCTGAATAAGTCAGCGTGGGAAATCCTCTCTGATAGAGACAATGAAATGCTTTGGAGGTCTGTGGGTCTGCCAGGCGAGTATGAGCAGCTCTGCTTCCCCAGTGCACTGCTGCCACCAAGAGCCACCAGGAGTAGAACCAATCCCAGGACACGAGCACTCCCAGCACTCCCTCCCTCCCTGTCCTCCCCACGGCTGGCAGCGAGCTGACCTGAGCCATGGACAGAACCTGGCTGCAGGGAGCTGGGGTCTGCTGCACGTGGGGGGTTTACACAAGGGCTGAGGCCAGCCCTGTCACCTGAGCTGCAGGCTGGGGGGAAGGAAAGCCGAGGTGGCACCCATCTCTGCTGCCAGCAGGCTGCTGCTCTGCTCCCCACAAGACTGAAGTGTCAGAAAGCATTTTCCTGCAGCAGCTTTCGGGTACATCTGTAGTGTAAGCAGGGCTTCGTCCCCCAGCTGCAGCGAGCAGCTTTGCTACAGAGAAGCAGAGATCACGGAATACCAAGAAGTGAAACAGGGACTCTGGAGGCAGCCTCGTGTCCAACGTGAAGGACAGAACCCCTAACTCAGCTGTCAATTGTGCCCTCCTTTCCTACCTCTACCTGTCCTGTGCTATGCGCGTGTCCTGGGACAGGGCTGTCTCCTTGCTAGCCTAAAAGATGGGGAAGCCACTGCCTTCGCTCTGATTTTTCTGTCTTTGGTGCTACGATTAAAAATAAAAAATAAACACAATGTCAGCAAAACCACATATTAAAAAAAAACAAAAAACAAAAAACAAAACAACAAACCAAGCAATAAGATATGCCAACACTTCCTGAAGAGGTTAAAAAACAACCCAAAAACAAACAAACAAACAAAAAAAACAAAAACCCCAACAATAAGTACATATCTGAGGTATTTCATCTGCTCAAAAAACCTGACTGGGGCCTGAAGGATGGAAAGGACGTCACCAGGGCAGGAGGGATGGTGCTCAGGTCTGGTCTGCAGGCTGGGGAATGTGTGGGGCAGAGCGAGGCCACCTGGGCAGCAGCTCGTGGGCAGCCTCTGCTTGCTTTACATGGGTTGGAAGGGAGAGGATGAGGAAGGGTTTGATTCTCTTTCCTCTGCTTCCCCACAGGAGAGCATCTTGGTTGATGGAGATTTGTTTTCTTTCTGCTCACGTGCAACTTGAAGGGGGATGTGGAGAGCACCCTCCGAAGAGAAGCTGCCCCAGGAAATCCGGATCGAGCTGTTTGTGTCAAGGGGAGCAAAGAATCAGAGCCAAACAAAGGTAAGGTTCGGGGGAAATGTCAGTAGGATGAATTCCCTAAGGAGAGACAGACGAGGTCAAGGGCGTTTAAAAATTGGCTGAAAGCCTAAAAAAGGCAACAACAGTAGGGAACAGGCCAGCACCAGCCAGCAGGACGAAGCAGCTGATGGAGAGGGATTTTTCTGTCTATGGGCCAAGCGTAGCGGTGAGAAATGTCCTTCTCAGGTAGACCTCAGAGAGAGGGGAAGGAGACTCATCGCATCTCTGGGGCTCCACGAGCAAGGACTGTGTGGCCCAAGGGGAGGACAGACGAGCACTGGACCGTGACAGAGCCTGAGGAAGAGAAGCGAGGAAGCTCTCCTGGCAGAAGCCATGGGAGGAGAGGGGCGAGGCAGCCTGCCGGCTGTTCCGATTGTCAACAAACTGAGCCGTGCTGTGGCTCGAGGAGAACCCCGTTTCCCTGCCCCGATGCCAGCTCTTTCCACCTGCCTTGGTGACGTCTCAGCCCATCTCTCCGCCCGCCGATCCCTGATTGAAAAACGCCAGGTGTGCCCCCCCTCTCTGCGTGCCACCCCCCCAAGAGGAACACAGCAAACCCTGGGAGGAGGAAGAGGAGGAAGAAAACAGAAACGAAAGGGAGGAAGAAAGGAGAGAACAAAGAAAAAGGCTGGACAAACAGGCGATGAAGAAAAAACTCGCTGGCATGGAAAGGTTTCAGCATCATCATCATCATCATCATCATCTTGCCGTTGGCCAACCACGAAGCAGGTTCCTTGAGATGAGGTAATCTGTGCGACTCCTTCCCGGCTCGCTCCCCGCCGCGAGCAGAGAGGAAGAGCTGCCGGAGGCCAGTGTGAGACAGCAAGCTCGGCCGTCCATCAGAGAGACCAGCTAGTGGAGGGCTCTGCGCTGGGGGTTCCCCGCGATGAGGTAGGGCTGGGGGAGCAGTGGGAGCTGCTGCTGCTGCTGCAGGAGCTCTGCGAGCCTGCGAGGAGATGGACGACTGGCTTCTGGGCAAAGAGCACGCCTGCAGGGCACAGAGGTAAGGGAAGAGTTAGGGGGATGTGGGGGGGATGCAGCAAAGGGTGGCTGATGCAGCCCCACAGGCTTCATCCTTACAGAATGAGGCCAGTGGGCTTGGAGGCAGATCAAAGCATCAGTGATGACATGGAAATAAAAGCTGAGTTTCAACTCTGCTCAAGAGCAGAAGGAGAGTAACAGTCCTTCCTGCTAGCACTGAATACAAAGTCCTTCCCCTGTACAAGTTGGACTTATAGAATCATAGACTCATAGAATGATAGAATGGCCTGGGTTGAAAAGGACCTACTTCCAACCCCCTGCTATGTGCAGGGTCACCAACCAGCAGCCCAGGCTGCCCAGAGCCACATCCAGCCTGGCCTCGAATGCCTGCAGGGATGGGGCATCCACAGCCTCCTTGGGCAACCTGTTCCAGTGTGTCACCACTCTCTGAGTGAAAAACTTCCTCCTAATACCTAATTTCTCACCAGGTCCTCACTTCTCTGCCACACCAAAAGGCCACTTGTGAGCTGTCAGCAAAATGCTGCCTGGGGGCTGCTCAAGAGCAGACAGATCACAGCAGAAAGTGAATGACATTACAGTAACAACCCTTGTACAAAAAGGAAATCACCAAAGAACAGCACTCAAGAGGATTTCTGAATGTAGGAACTCCACCACTGAATGGAAAGGGCATTAATTTTGCCTACCTAGGACCAAAAAAATGAGAAAAACTCATCTCCTGCTGTAATTTCTAAGCTGGACAAGTTGCA